ATATATATATATATATAACTGTTTCCAAAAGTAGTCTGAAATGCTGGGTGCCTATGTTTTTGATTGCCCATTTTTAGTGAAAATGGACTCATTTCCAGATGTGCTGAGAAGCTGCAATTTGCTCTGGAGTCAGTGGGACCTGTAGCTGCTCAGCAAATCTCAACTGAGGCCTTAAAAGCCCAGTTGGTTGCCGGTCTTTTGCAAACACCATGTTGGCTGGAAAGAGCTCTAACCAAAAGAAAAACCAAAGGAGCAAAGGAGTTAAAACTACTTAATTTTCTTTGCCGCTTTCCATGGACTGCCTCTAACAGTGGTGGGAACCTGTGCTTGAGGAGTAGCTGGATGCATTCAGTAAACTATGGTCCTGCCCATCCTTACCCTCTGCTGCTCTTGCTCTACATCCTAAACCCCAAGGCTTAAGCTGCTTGATCCTTTTCCTTCTGAGCAAACCTAGACCCTAAGAAGCTCCGTTCAGAGGCCACCATGCTCCTCCTGCTGCCCTTTGAGCTCTCTCCTTGGCAAATCTGGGCAATAACAGCCAGGTGCTGGTGCAGATCCACACTCCTGTAGCAAGCTGTGGGATCTGCATGGGCCCTTCAGATTTTGCCCTCATCCCTGCCCTTGGGACTGAGGGGCTGCTTCTAGAAAAATGCTGCATGCAGTGCTTGGAAATGCGAGCTGCTAATGGAGCTGAGTATTTAATAACTGGCCCTGCCCCCCTACATGGATGAAAGTACTGCAGACAAGGTAGTGAACGCATAGCTGGCTGGTGAGGCAGAGACAGTGCATCTTTTACTCTCATTTTAGTCCTCCTCTGAAGATCAATAACAAGATTTTGAATCTTAGTGTCATACTCCATCTGAGCGTGCAGTCTCAGATTGCCAACCTTATCAATATTAATACCCCCATCTTTAAGACAGGGAAACTGAAGCAGAGGATAGTTATTCATCTTCCCCAATGCCATTAGAGGCACCAGGCACTAAGGCGTAGAAAATGGAAGGATCAGTGTGAAAAATAGCGTTTTGTTTTCTAAGGATATAGTTTGCATCTCATTTAACTGTCATCACTCTGCACCTTTAACTCAACTCAGACAGGAGAAGGCAGTGAAAGGGAGTTTCCTTTAAAGGTTTCTGAAGTGCTACTCTGCCCCATCATTTCTCAGACTTCTTTCTAACTCTGGTGGGAGAGCAGGAGCCCAAAAGGATGCCTGCGAACTCCCGGGTAGGGCTTGTGGAGTGTCTTTCATGACAGAGGGACAAGAGACTTAGTGCAAAGAAATTTGGTTGGGCCTGGAGCAATCCCAAGACTGGGGAGTGTTGATACATGGTCTGGAGAAGTCAGTGGGACCACTTCTTAGCTGTAAGTGTCCTGATCCATCCCTTCTTCCCCAGTGTGTGCTGTTGTAACCAGCTGTGGATGTTTTGCCCTTGTGCAAAAGAATCTGGTGGTCAGTGGTTTAGATGGAGCTACAGTAGTTGGTAAAAGACTTCATTTGGTAAGACCTCAATTCAAGCTGTCAAATCAGCATCAACAGTTTTAATACTGAGAAAAAAATTTTGCAGGAAAAAATTAAAAGTGAAGCCAATTGTTTTATAAAGCACCTTTCCCAGGTTTTCTGTTTCACTCACTCACATGCTTGGCTTTCAGGCAAGCTGAATTTTATTACGTATAGCTCTTTAAAAAAATAACTTTAATTTGTTTGTAGGTTGTCAGTACTGCTCATAAATACCCATCCGTCCACCCTGAGACCCGCCATTGGACAGCTCTGACATTTGCTGTGTTGCATGGACATATTCCTGTAGTTCAGGTATTATTGTATTTCCCTACCTGCATCTCATTCTTTTGTTTCTCCTCTTCAGTTCTAATTACATCCATCTCAAACCAGTATCCTCCTGTCATACTCATATTGGTTACTTCTGCTTCTTCAAGAGTGTACTGATGTATTATAGACTTATTCTACAGCAAACACAGTGTTCAAACCTGAACCAATATGAGGCTTAAATAGGACAATTTTAAAGCAAAGTTGCACCAAAGAAAGTCTGACAACTCCTTGTGCTCCTTCCTGACCACTTGTTTTATATGTTTGTTTATTCATTCATTACACTTTCTTGCACTATATATTCCTAGCAAACACAAAACCACTGCCTTGGTGGAAGACAAGTGGACAACAGCCCTTGTGCTGTTGCAAAGCTGGAGAAGCCTTTGCTCTCCTTGCCTCATCGAGGTGTTGTGTGGGATGTGCTGGTTCTGTGCTTTGGCATCTCAAAAGCAGAGAAGGTTTATTCTTCAAAATAGCTGTGTCTGTGGCACACTTAATGAAGCACCAAAACTGTGAAGGCCTCAAGACTGCAATGGCCAAGAGGGGGCTGGAATGCAGGCTCCATCCTGCTCTTCTTTGCCACTTGTTTTCAGCACTGTTGTTGTTTATGTGGAAATGTCCCCGATGGAGACCACAACTTTTGGACTTATTGCTGCAATTGGTTCATAAGAATTGCCTTTCTTTTTGCCATTTCTTTATATAAAAGATGGAGGCAATTGAAATCTGATCTGTTTTTGGATGGTGCTGGGCTTCTAGAAGACCATGAAGGAAGGATGCTTTTGTTGGGTCAATCTTCTTCCTTCTTCAGTGCATTACTTCCAAACACTGACCTTACTCCATTTTGCATTGAAAAACACTGGGTTACGCTTTTTTGGCTCTGGAGTTGGACACTAGTGCTCCTGGTGTCTGGCAGTGTACAATGAGCGAGAAAAGGAATCAGTTTGTCTCTGTTAAACAGTGGACAGAACTTGCATGTCACATGTCTCCATCGTGTCTGGTTTGCAGATAAGAAGTGTTAGATTCTCATTTGTCACTGTTCATGAACTCTGAAAATTGTGATACCCCCAGTTGCTCTAAATGGTAAACTTTCTTTCTAGTTGTTACTGGATGCTGGAGCAAAGGTAGAAGGTTCCTTGGAACATGGAGAGGAAAATTACTCTGAAACTCCTTTACAGTTGGCAGCAGCTGCTGGTAAGAACTTTCTCCTCTCACTGTAGCAATTCCTCAGCTGAGATTTGTGGTTTAGGTGAGCAAATACTGGATTTTAAAAGAACTAAAAATGCATCTCTTGACTTGCAGGAAATTTTGAGCTGGTCAGTTTGCTGTTGGAGCGAGGAGCTGACCCCATGATAGGAACAATGTACAGGAACGGCATTTCCATGACTCCACAAGGTGACATGAACTCTTTCAGTCAGGCTGCTGCACATGGACACAGGTAGAGTGGGAACAAGTCTAGTGGCATCCTTGAAGTGCATATTTTTGGCCCGGGCATCCGGTTTGAGCCAATGGGTGAAATTTATGCATGAACAATTGAACATGCTACCAACTGAGCAGAGATGTGAGGCTTTCTGCTAGCATGTGAATTTAATCAGTTGGTGGTACAAGTTGCTTTTTGATAGCTGATATAAAAGGAAAAAGGAAGAGGACTCCTTGTGGTGTGTTCAATGCAATGGTTGTTAAATGGCAGCTGATGTGGTGGCAGAAAGGAATGCCAAAGACATTCCTTCGTGAATTTCTTGACACATTTCTCAGGTTTGAGTGAATCATGTCTGTACTGCTGCAGCCTTAATTGTCATTGAATAGAGTTTCTGCATCTGTGTTTACTGTACAGTCATATGTGTCTTGATGTTGTATGTATGCTGCAAATTAAAAACAAAAAGAAGTAACAAACTGAGCACCTGGCATGCATGGTCTGGGAACGCTCAGGAGTTGACTGCAGTATAATGAATTAGTATTATGATCTTCACGTTCCTGCTTTTCTGATTGTAGCCATCCAGAGGAACATAGATACAGGTTAGAGACAGTACCTACCCTCCGTTTGCTTAGAGATGAGCTGCCAGTCTAACAACATGCTAGCGGCATGTCAGGGTGGGTTCACACAGCGCTGCCCATCTGGAGCCTGCAAAGGATCCTTGGGGCAGAGAGGACAGTTTGGTTATTGGAGTCTCACGTTCAGCCAGCATGAATGGAAGCCACATGTCTGAGGAAGACCTGGAGCTCTCCTCAGTTTGGCTGCTGGCTGTCCATGTCACAGACTCTGGCTCTGATGTTCCTACCTGTATACCACTCACAGACACCTTCCTCCTTCCCTCTCTGCCCTAATTTTGTTTGGGACACACCATGCTGGGGTCTGAGCAGGTGCGGGGAGGACACCAGAGTACAGGGGAGGTGGGCTGGGAGCCAACCAGGTTTCTCTTCTCACAGGTGCAAACCCAAGAGAAACTCTGTTGAGGTTGATGAAGTTATGCTGATATGAACCTAAGGGCACAAAGTCTCTATGTTTGGGCTTTGTTATTTGATGGCCCAACTGGATCCGTGGCTTTGTAGGGTAGTCCCGGATGTGCTTGAACCTGCCCTGACTGCCTTGTTGAATGTCTAGCTGCTCCAGCTTTCCCAGACTGCTTTGAATGTTAATCGAGTGGCAGTGCTTTCGGTAGCTCCAGGCAGTTCCCTTCTCAGGTGGCCTCTGTGGTGGAAGTCCTGAGAGTTTGTCCAGGAGCACCTCGGCCTTCCGTGATTGTTGAAGAAGTCTTGAGTCACATGTAACTCACAGGTCTCTGGTACCATCAGATGCTGCCACCCATGTGACATCTGTACGGTTCCTGTTGCGACAGAAGTGACTTGCAGACTTGTCCCAGGCAGTGCAGGTGGGCTAGCAGGAGCTGTGCTTGCCTCGGGTCTGCTTTCAGCTGGTTTTGCCATTCCTTGGAGTAGTTTCCTGGATAGGTGTCCAAACTTGCCATGTCACAGCAAGTATGCCTAATACAATGAAAGCCTAACCACTGAATCACTCTCCCTTTCCTTTCCACTTTTGCCTTCTCTCCCTCGCTCTGTCATGCTGTGATTGACAGGAATGTCTTTCGTAAGCTGCTTGCTCAGCCGGAGAAGGAGAAGAGCGATATTCTGTCTCTGGAGGAGATCCTGGCTGAGGGGACAGACTTGCCTGACTCGGCAGCAGCTCCACTCTGTGCCAGCCGCAACAGCAAGGCCAAGCTGAAAGCCCTGAAGGAGGCCATGTACCACAGCGCCGAGCATGGCTACGTGGATGTCACCATTGACATACGGAGCATAGGTCAGTCCTGGTGTCCTTTCTTTCCTTCGTCCAGGAGGGACCACTGTAAGAAACACATCTCTCTTGACGGGCTGTGCTTAAACGGACCACAGTCACACCTTCCTTAACTCTGTTGGAAGCAGAAGGTGATGGGAGGGGAGATCTGACAGGTTTCAGCTCCACAGCACACCCTATTTGGGAGCCACCGGCTCTTTTCTGTAGGACACAGTGGCTTCCACCAGCAGACATCTGCACTGCTGCATGGCGGAGTGTGGGTAAGGCTCTGGAACAGTGTTCAGCTGCTGTGGGCCACCTCCAACAGCTCCTTTTTTGCTATTTTGTGCTCTGCCATCAAGCAGTCCACCATGAAACCAACTTTATCTTCTGAGACTTATGAGCATCCAAGGGCAGGAGCAGGGAACAGACTCCTTGGTGTGCCAAGTTTGCCAGTGTGGGGCTTGAACATCATACCAGCCTGCTGGGAAGTTGCTTCTGCCCATGAGGAGAGTGGTTGGGTAACACAGAGGGGAATCAGTCAGGACTGTGTATTTACAGTCCCCACTGATCTGCGTTCAGAGAGAAAGAGAGACCCAACTGCCTGGCATGTCTCTGCCTGGTGTGGTGCTCCAGCCCTGGGGACATGTGGCATGGGCCAGGGTGTGTGGAGGGCTGAGTGGTGACTTGCCAGATGGGCTGAGCAGGCAAAGACCTGGAGATAAATGAGAGGAGAGTGGTAGGGATGCTCTCCAGGCACTGAACATTTTCTGAAATGAAAGGAAAACCTCTAGTTGCCAAACACCAGGCTTGTGTTTCCTCCCGCTGTGTTCTGCAAGAGCAGAAACTAGGTCACATCCAGCCTCATGCCTGCAGAGGTACATTAGGTCCATGTGCTTTCTCGCTCAGTGCATGGGAGCAGTTCCCTATAAGTTCCTGGAGAGTGATTCTGCCATGACAATCTACTTGAAAAGGCTGATCTGCTTAACTCCCTCAGTGCTGTTTAGGGAAAATGCTAATGATCAGGAGAGCGCATGGCTTAAACTTGAAGCAAGTTTTAATCTGAAGACCACTGGTTTGAATCCTGGTGGGTAGTGACCAAAATCAGGGTTTTTTTACCATTTAATGGCTCTCCAGGGCCACATTGAAACAAATGAGCTAGTGTAAATCTAATTTCCAAAAGGTTTTTGCAACACAACACCACAGCAATTACCACAAATTGGCAGCCTCAGCAGAGAAGCTGCAGGCTAGATGAGCAGAGAGACCACAGTCTTCTCTTAGCTCTTGGAAGAAAGCCTCTATGCGTTAGGTCTGGGATGTACTGATAACCATCAGCCTTCTCAATCAGGGATAAATCAGAATTAGATTTCTAGTGCAACTTGGCAGGTGTTGCTTAAAATCTTTACAGAAGTAAAGGTAAAAAAAGCAGAAGAGCACATCCTTCCCTGAAGCTGGGAATGAGCTCTGACCTCTGTCCGTAGGTGTTCCCTGGACGCTCCACACATGGCTGGAGTCCTTGCGCACATCCTTCCAGCAGCACAGGCGACCCCTCATCCAGTGCTTGCTAAAGGAATTCAAGTCCATTCAGGAAGAAGAGTACACAGAGGAGCTTATCACACAGGGGTTGCCTCTGATGTTTGAGATACTGAAGGCCAGCAAGGTAGGATGAATTCTGCATTTTAAAGCCAATCAGCTTTATTCCCACCCTGTAAGACACAAGGATTGCAATGTTATTTTTGCACAGCTCTCTCAAAGCTTGTTTAGACTGCACAGGATTATTATTATCTGTGTTGTGCATCTCAGGTTTTTGCACTGTGGAAGCATGGGTTATAAACCCACAAGCTAATCACTTCTCCTGCTAGAACAGCTTAATACTGATGGTAACAATTAGCTGGAGAGACAACAGAAGCTGACGCATAGTGGTGAAATTAAGGGTCACTGCATTACGGCAGGAGATGTTGATAACCAAACCAACTCAAAGAGTAACTTTACCCAGCTTGTTTTACAGGACCATGCAACAACATGCTAATTTTCATGTTTACTTTGGATTTCTTTAACCCTCTCACGTGACTTTCTCTTCCCTTCATGTGGGATTTGGACTCTTAAACTTGTGGGGAGACTGGTTTCTACAAGTTTTTAAATCTCCTGTGTGAGTGTTTGTACTTGCTGTCTCTCCAGATTTATTCTTTCAGCTGACATTTTTAGGCCTTGTAATCTAGGATGAGGGGGTGACTTTAATTGCTTTTCTCCTGGGTGGCTGAAGCCAAGGCCAGTGATCATCATTAGAATAAATTATTTTGTACATGTTAGACTAGGCCTTCCAGAGTCTATTGTAGGATACCTGGAAACAAATAAAGACTTCTACCTTCTGCTTTGGGTTCAATTAGAACCTACAATATGGAGGGTTGAAACAACTGAAGTATCACAAAAGCCTCTCCATGACCAAGAGGAAGTCTGTGCTGGTCTTTATTCCTGCCTCTGGACCTGGGGGAACTGCCTGTCTTCATGCATATTCACAAACACGCACTCATACAGTGTTTCATATTCTTAGAGAAAATAATTAATCATTCTGGGACACCGTAAGGGTTTACAAATTGTCTGCAAATGTTATGAGTTATTGCAGCAGTCTTGTCCAAACGGCCTTGCACAAAGCTCTCCCGGACTGAAATGGTGAAAGACTCTATGCAACCCTTCAGAAGGAATGTAAATAAATTCATTTGTAGGAGAATGAGCCAATAAAAGTTCTCCCTGGTCACTCTGTAGAAGGCAGCTGAGAAAAGCTGAGATTTAAAGGATCTTCTGTTCCCCTTCTCTGGAAGGGCTGAGAGCAGAGATGCTTTGTGTATATCCACAGCATAGAAATCTCCTTTAAGAGGTGCAGAAGGGCCATAACTGTGGTTCACATCCCTCTTTCAACAGCAAAGTGTAAAGCTCTGCATTTCGTAGAGCTGTGGAGAGAGGACCTTGATTTGCCCACATGGACATCCTTTTCCCTGTGGGCTGGAGACTTCGTGGGAGATTATGACTCTTGCTACACATGGCCCAGTACATTTCCTTAATGAGTTTTTCAGGGCATAAAGTATAAAATAAGCAACTAGGAAGCACAGAGCCACTTAGCAGTTTTTGGCTGATGTAAAACAAGGTGTCCCATTTGCTACATATTGTGATGCTCGGTGTATTTTAATTGCATGGCAACTTTGTACCTAATAGAAATGGCATTTTGTGTTCCTATAAGTAGTTCCAACTATCCCATAATCTCAGAACAATTTACTCATATTAATGAGTTGAGACATGGGAGAAGATCTTATCCTCCTTTTACCAACAGGGAAACTGAGGTAATAGGAAGATCTTCAGCACCTCATAGAGTGACAGTCCTCAGAAGCTGTGGTAACATGGATAAGCCAGACAGCAGTTCATAGTTTTGAGTAATTTGGCCAGAAAATGCTCCAGAAATCATATGGAAACATAGGGCAGGTCTCAGGGTAGGAAGGAAGCCTTCTCCCCTCAACCTTCTACTTTGCACTGTCACACAAAATGTTCTTGCACATTCCCAGGCCACACAAAAATGGACAAATACTACAGAAATGAAAACATTTTAAAAAATAACCAAATCCTACAAGAACACCATCAAATATAAGGAATCCCTTTTCTCTTATAGATGTTTTTTAATATGCCTGTTTCCAGGGGGTCCAGATGTGAGGGTTTGTGTGGGAGCTCTGCCACCAGCCAGCACTGACGCTGGTGTCCTGTCGGCTGGCAGTGTGGCACTCCATTCCCATCTACATGCCAGGATGCTGACAATAGAAATAAAAGTAAAATTTACAGAAGTCCTGGTGCTGTAACACAGAATGGCAACAAAAATTGGCTGATTGGGCAAAACTGGCTGAGCTGAAGTCCCTAATTTTATTGCCTTTCTTCAAGCTGTGAAATAAGTGGGGAAGAACAGTGTATAGGTTGCACATCAGTTGTTCACTGCTGCACTGAAGTCCTGGAGGAAGTCTTCCAAAAGCACTAATGAAGGTTCTATACCCAGCTCCTGGTGGCTTTCAGTGGAATGGAACTCCTTCATTTCCTTTAATCCCTTTAAATGTCTTTACCAGCTGCACCACTGAGAATTGCGTGGGGAGTGGAGAAGTGGCAGAGCTTATGCGAGAATAGGCAGAGAATCACACTGCAGTTGCTCCCTCTATGGTTACTGCTGTCATGCAGCGAGCTTGGGTCATTACCAAACCAAAGACCAGAGATAAGGTACTCTGGTGAAAGCAGCATCTGTGGAAAAGACATGGAGAGCTCAGTTTTAAAGGCACTTTCCTTAGAGCAAGCAAAACTCAAACTAGGAAATCTCTGACATTAAAACTATCAGTTACAAGGTGATGGTTTTGGGGCATGAGGTGGGGAGGAAAGGCACTGCCATTTAGGGATTGATTGAATCTCTTTGGCAGACAAGCACACACACATAACCTGCTAGAAGTGGTTTGGACAGGGCCATGTGAGGCAGAAGCCAGAGACCCTTCTGGGAATGAGTGGCCTTGAGCTAAACTTCAGCTGCTCTGTAGAGCAGAGCTGAATCCCTCAAAGCTAAGATGACACTGGCAATCTTGTTACAGAAGAAGGATAGGAAGATGCAGCTGAATTCCTGCCTGTTGGTATCTATGTTGTGCTCTTCACAGCCTGAGAAAACTCACCCTAACTCCTCACTGAAGGTTCTCCTTTGCCTCCAGCTGATGTTCACATTGCCTGAGCTGGCTCTGAGCTGGATTGCCCTCCTGCTTCACATCAGAGGACCATATTTGCCTGAGAAGTGGATATGCTCAGGGGGTGCGCCCCCCCAAGCAGAAGCTTTTGAAAGAGCTGTGTGAGGCTGCACTCAGGTCTCTGGGCTTGTACTGCCTGAGGTGAAGCTTGCAGGTCAGCTCTTCCATTTTTGCAGGGATATTCTTTGGAGGATAATGCACTGAATGTGCAGGGATGTTTCTTTGTCCTGTGTCTGCAAAAATCTTGGAGGTGTTGAGTTTGACCTTGATATTTCCACGACCTGAAAAGAGAAACTCAAAACCACAACCTTAAAAGCTGAACACATGTGGACTTTGGAGGAGGTTGGGTTTAGGTTTCCACTCTGGAGTTCCACATGTGCTTGAATTGTCACTAAATTTACCCAGCTCCATCCATGCAGATGAACCAGCAATGTTGCCAGTTGTAAGAGGTTATGAGCCCGTTTCATCCACTGCTTTTCCTGCCTGCAGCAATTTGCATCATCTTGTCCTTGGCCTGTGTTTTTGAGAAAACATGCAATCTTTTAATTCCTAATGATCTCTCTTATAGCTTTCTCCCTTTCCCCTGTAGCACAGGTAAGGAGCTGCTTTCCGTTTCTTTGGATCCCTTGTGGGCATGAATTGCTGAAGTGCATGCATGAGTCCACATGTGCCTTGAGCACGTGTACTGAAGTGTTTAGGTACTGAAGTACCTAAAGCTGCTAGAGGTGCTTCACACCAGGAAAACTTGGCTTAGGACTATGGGTATTCCTGCTAGTTTATTGCCCAAGACAAAAACAGCTTGAACAGTCATAGGGGGGATCATAGAAACATAGAATCAACGGGGTTGGAAAAGACCTCCAAGATCATCAAGTCCAACCCTACCATGGTTACTAGGCCATGGCACTAAGTGCCATATCTAGTCTCATCTTGAAAACCTCCAGGGACGGTGTATCCACCACCTTCCTGGGCAACCCATTCCAAAGCCTGATCACTCTCTCCATAACAAAATCTCATCCTAATATTCAACCTAAACTTCCCCAGGCAGAGCTTGAGTCTGTGCCCTCTTGTCCTCCTGCTAGTTGCCTGGAAGAAGTGACCAACCCCCACCTGACTCCAGCCTCCTTTCAGGGAGTTGTAGAGGGTGATAAGGTCTCCCCTGAGCCTCCTCTTCTCCAGACTGAACACCCCCAGCTCCCTCAGCCTCTCCTCATGGGACTTGTGCTCCAGTCCCTTCACCAGCCTCGTTGCTCTTCTCTGGACCTGCTCCAGCACCTCAATATCCCTCCTGAACTGAGGGGCCCAGAACTGCACACAGTACTCAAGGTGTGGCCTCACCAGCACTGAGTCCAGGGGCAGAATCACCTCCCTGGTCCTGTTGACCATGCTGTTCCTGATCCAGGCCAGGATGTCACTGGCCTTCATTGCCAAACTCTCTTGCATTCTGCCACTTTCTCTTCATCCTTCCCATCCATTTCTGCCTGTGACAAAGTTGTTTGTTTTAAAATTTAGCCCATTAGTGAGGTGTTGGTCACACTGTGCAGCCAGACTTGTTGAAATATGCAGGAAACTACTTTGCAAATTTAGGAGTTTCCCAACCTCTACAAATGCACCTATAGACAGCTGAAGAAATGTGCAGGAGTGTGCAGGCTCTTCTGTTTGAGTGACACCCATCAGTCTGGTGTTTATAGTTCTTGAGAATAGATAACATTTCAGAACAATAACTGGGTTTAAAATTCCAGAAGGAGTCAGGCATGTGGGTATCCTGAGAAACTTAGCCTATATAGCTTGTACTCTTGCAGCAGTAACTTAGCCAGCTGGAATCCAAAATCTTTTGGAAAGTGAAGTTTTGAGGTGTTTTTTTTTAACTTAGATTTTCAGAAATAGCACCATGTAGCTCTTGTCACAG